TGTGCCAGGTCTTAAGATCCCGAGCTATATCTCCAAAAAATTAGGATAATATAAAAAAAGTTTTTTCTGCTTACCTTTGATTCTTTTTGCGTCCGTGAGTTTTGTGGATTTTGTCTGTACTGGGCAACAACATATCCGGTAATATCATACCTCTCGTAGCTCGTCGTGCGGCAACATAAATTCTCGCATAAATGAGAACAACAAGAATCATTGGTACATAAAAACTTGATGATGCACTACAATGTTTTTTTTTTCGTGAAAATTTAAGGTTGAATTAGCCGTTTGGGCGACTTTTGGATTTTGGCTAGTTTACATGATGTGATGCACATGACGGATAAAAGCTAGTGAGAGGGTTTTTCTAAGAGAAAAAAAAAGATGTTTTTGGCTGTTCTTGGTCAATCTCGTGTCTTAAACGCCAAAAAAAAAACATGACGAGTCAAAGCTCATCATGTTTTTTTTTGGCACTGAGAACTCCAGATATTGGTAGCAGCAGTACAGAGGTTGGAAAGGCTCCAAGTTTTTTTTTTTTGAAAAAAAAAACCCCCGGACTTACCTAAAAATGACTCGTCGCATTTTTTTTTGGCATTAGGGACTCTAGATATTGATGCCGCAGCACAGAGATTGAAAAGGCTTCAAGTTTTTTCTTTTTTTTTTCGAAAAAAAACCCGCCGAACTTACCTAAAAATAATATATGCAGTACTAGCATGTGCTGGTGTACAACGGCAATAATCTGTTTCCGGTTTATGCGTACTTGCAACCAGAAAACTGGGACTGCACACAACAAAAGAACTGATCCAAACAGCAGCAACTGTTGTATGCGCTCGGCTTCTGGTTACCAGTGTCGGATAGTGCAGGGGCTTAATGATTGCAATAAAGCGATCAATGCTTATTGCAACCAAATTGTAAATTGATGCCGTACACATCCAAATATCCATCGTAAGCCATATGGTACACCACAGTTCACCAAATACCCAGTACCCATCGAGCACTTCGTTTATCGTACTGAACGGTAAAATTACACTGCCCACCTGAAATAGAGCCTCAGTTTTTTTTACTGTCTAAATGCAGTTTGTAATTAGATGTGAAATTGTAATAGTAATTGTTGTAGTAGTAATAATGCTAATAATAATAATAATGATAATAATAATAATAATAATAATAACAATAATAACAATAATGATATTAATAATGGTAATAATAATAATG